AACTAACTATTATGATATTATGTTAGAAAGGGTTGTCAAAACCAGGACAGACTACCACTATCTACTGTTCTCATGAACTGGTCTCCTCCCTTTGCAGGAACAAAATCTGTGAAGAAAAAAATATGGTTAAAGTTCTCTATTATCTTTTTTTGTTGTTCTGAAAACAACCAGATTCTCCTCCAGTTACGTACATCTGTACTTGTTGACATGTGACAAGGCACACAGCCAAAGGTAGTTTGTAAAACCTCACCACAACCTGAAGGTCTGTCAACACATTCCTTAAATTAAACTGGTCTGGGGCACAAAAAGGTTGTGTACCTCTGAAAACGTGGACTAAGCTTTGGCTGAGGTAATCAGGAATACCTGTATAAAGGTATCAGTATTAAGGTGTTTGTTTGTGGGGCACCAGAAATGGTACGTTATACACAGTGGATTGTATAGGAGGTTATAGGAAAAATGAGGACTCTATATACAATATCAATGTGTCTTCGTGCATGCGTCTGTGTTGTGTGTGGGTGTGTGTTTTTGTCCCTGGGGTGCAGACTCTCACCCTGTAGACTTGTACTTTTCTGTAGCCTGTGTGACCTCTTGTAGGAGTAAGTATTCCATTATCAGTTCTCTTTGTGAGTTTCAGGCACAGCGCTACATCATCTCCTTAAAGCTCAGATACACATTCCTCTGACCATCAAGTCAGATCTCAATATTTAACTCCACCTTCTGTACCCCAGGTTGATAAGCACAGAATATAAACTTAGAGTATCTGCCAACACCAATCTGATACCTTCGTTTCTACTCCAGCACGCCATGGTATGCCGTTGCTGAAGCGATCGTGTCCCTGTTCACGGCATGTCACGCAACATTAAATTGAGCATTTGGAGGACCAGATAGGACAGGCTATAGTTTTGTTGGCACTGTCCACTGCATTTAGATAGTTGACCATGATCAGTGTTTGTCCATCCATCAGCTATAGAGGGTTGGGATGTAACTCCTATTGATCCAGCAAGACAGATCAACCAGGACCAGCTGTCCTCATACTTGTCCTGCTCTACTATTTTATAGTTCTTTGTCACTTTTTCGCCAGACCATACTAATGTTGTTCTCTCCTTTGTCTTGTAATGATGAAGAGTGGATTTGAACATTTTCGCCTTAGTTTTACTTTGTCAACCCCTGTGTTCACGATGATGCTGATCAACCAACAGCTACTGCATATTGCCCTCATTATCCCCTAGTTGATATGCCGCCTAGCATCGCCTCAGGCGAAATGTAGTGTGTGATCTTGACCTGCTGAGGGTGTTGAGGGCAGGATTAACCTCCCGCAGTAAAAGTTGTATCATCATCAGGCCTGCCATATTTCATCAAACAATGTTGCTGTTGTGCATGTGTAAACGTACTAGAAAAGCGACACTGTGTGTCGCTTTTCTAGTACGTTTACACATGGTCAGAAGGTAGTGTCTGGTAGATGTGGAGGATGTTTGGTGGAACATAGACAGATGGATATTTAAAAAATGTGGAAAAAAGTGAAAGAATCCCACTTCCTTTTGACATTCATACTATTGTAAGCCTGGCTGTAATTATTTTGGAAAAATGCCGGATTTTATTTAATAATTTTCAAATATTGACTTGTGCATTTGTGCGTTGTGAGTTCTCTTTCATGGAAACCAAAATCCAGTTAGATTAAACAAGCTGAAATAAAAAAATAAAATAAAAACCGTTTAATTTTATATATAAACAATTACTCATTAATGAAGTTAACTATTATTACATCTGCCGTGCATTCAAATACTGATCAATAAGTCGATTACTCGTAGCTACGTTAAAATGGTGTCCATTTTTGAGCAAGCTGTCTTTTAATTAGATTATTTTATCTATATAAGCATATATTTAGTCACTTTCTTTCACGCTTTCACGCTTTCTCCCTGTTGCTCAGACACACATACACACACAGGCACGCACACAAAAACCCACACAAAATCCTAAAACGCCTGTGCAGTACCCGCAGCAACAGATAGAGGCTGCTGCATGACCACAGAAACTGAGCAGCCAGGGGCAGGTTGTTTGTAGCCCGGCTTCCCGCTGGCACATCACATCCTCCTCCTTCCTTTTTCTCCCAACGGTCGTCGACTCTCTCCATCCCTTTATGTCTTACACCGTTTCTCTTACCTTTAATTCCCGTCTCCTGGGATTAAAATAGGCCGTGGCCGTGTGTGCGCCGCTCATGGGTTGGAGCAGCTGTTCGGGGGTAGAGACAAGAGGGAGACAGTGAGGTTTCAGAAAGACGGCAGCAGATGTGCAGCTCTGGATGCAAAGCTAGAGGACGCCTGAGAGGACAGACTGTCTGTGGATATGTGTACCTGTGGAAAATGGACTTGCATTTAGCAGCATCTGGACGCCGCTGCCGATGAGGTGACTGTCTTTCTCTCCCCCCGTCTGTCTCTTTCTCGTCTGTCTCCCCGCTGTCTGTTGTGTGTCGGTGTGCTCGAACAAATATGTGTCTGTCCTTGCTGCGCTCGTCAATGATGTGCTCCTCTGTCCAAATACACTGCCAAGTGATGAGGTGTTTCTCATGTGAAACTGCGGCATTTCTTAATTTTAGATTCCCAAATTCCTTTGTTTTACAGCCCCCATTTCCTTACCTTCTCCCCTTTCTCTCATCTCTCCAGTATTACTTATCTCCCTCTCTTCTCTCACTTTGCTGGTCCTCAAAACCATTCACATTTCTTTCACACAGCCTCACTGAAATGGTGTCGGTTTGTATTGATGGTTTTTTGAGAAGGCTTGGTTGTGAAAGACCTCTGGTCAGAAACATACATGTATGAGCTCAACGCAGCTGGAATCAACGTGAACGCTTCTCTCGTCTTGTCAGTTTGTCGTCTCCGTTATCTTGGAGGAGCTGCATTAACCTTCACTGTTAGGCCAAGCAATGTCAAGTCATTTTAGAAGGAAGGCATGTTGGCCATGCATCGGTGAGGAGCTGTGGCTTCACTGGTAAATGCCTGGCATGTAACCTCATCCTGGTTGTCATTGGGTTTGATAGTCTTGTAAATTGAATGTTGGGAGGAGAATAAGTTCTCCTCCTCTTCCTCATTCACTCCTCTGGTTTGAAATGGAGGGAGGGAAAACCATCTATGGTCATTATCATATCATGTGTGTGCGGGGGCTCTATGTCAGACCTGCTTGTATTCTCAGGCCTCGTTCCTGTGGACGGCAACTCAGCAGCAGCAGAGGGGCAAAGACAAAGTGATGTGAGCCTCTGTCCTCTGTCCTCTGTGGGCCTTTGTCACCCAACCTGCTGACACTGCACGTCTGGGTCCAAAGGCTTCATGGGTTTACACAATAACAATGATATATATCGCCTGTGTGTGTGTGTGTGTGTTTTTTGAGGGTGTATCTTCTTATCAGCTGATCCACTACATTATTGTTGAGCAGATGATGTCACTGAAGTGGAACTGTCTGCTCTTAGAGCTTAAAAAATCCCAGCCACGTCTTTTGCAATAAAGTAATAAATAAAGTAAGCTCTATTGTTTTAGGTTCTGTTTTATTACTCCTTACAGGTTGATGAAATTCTGCAATAGGGTGCCCAATAAATAGATCATGATCTGCCAGTAGATAGTAAGAGGATCTGCTGCTAGTAGGTCATGACGAATAAATATAAATACATTTATTTGTATAAACAGTATATATATATATACAGAATATATATATATATATATTCTGTAGTGTGTAGCAGTGACCATATTCTGTAAGAATTCATCACATTGTGCCATATAGCTCCATGCATTTAATCAGTACCCAAACCTATAATGTATATATAATGTGTGTTCTGTTTATATGGGTAAACAAATATACACTTAACATTTTCAATGTAGACAGATCAATTAGCTTGGTCATTTGAACAGTCCCTCCCAAGTCAAAAAAAAAATTGTGGACACCCCTGATTAACAAGGTTTTTATTTACAATTATGAATGAGGCAATGAATTAAACTACAAGGGTACGAAGAGTGTTCAGTGTTCAGGAATCTAAAGGCCAGAGATGTCTTTAAAGAAAACTACAACGCAAGCTTTTTGTTTGTTCTCATAGGAGGAGTGGTTGACAAAGATTTGCGGCACTACCTCAACCTGCGCTTCTCCAAGGGCTCTGTGGACCACGACCACCAGCAGATCATCAGAGACAACCTCTACCTCCGCACTGTTCCCTGTGAGTCCACCTCTCCTCTTCTCTTCTTCCTCCCCTACCCTCTGGCCTCCATCATACCAAGATGCATCTCTTCTCTCTGCCTCACAGCGGAATCCGTCGTTGACTCTTTCTTTTTCTAAGATACTGCCCTCTCCCCTTTCTCCCTATCTCCTCGCCCAGCAATATTTCTTTATTTTTTATTTTTTGTATCAGTTTCCACTTCCATGCCCTCTGGACATGGCTGTTGTAATTTTTTTATCACACGCTTTTCTCTCTCTGTCTCTCACTATCTATGGCTCCTTCATTTCACTCAAGCGTTGGGCTGCTCAGCTTCCAGTCTGAGGTTTCCACGGCAACTACGCTCTTGAGGCTTGTATTGCTGTGACGCCCCAACCCCCCTTCCAGCACATGGACATGCTCTAAACTCACACGCACGCACACTGGATGTCACCTTGTTAAATGTTGTAGGATTTTTTTTTGTGAGGAACCTTCAGAATAATAAAATAATTAACAGGTAAATACTAAAATAGGTCAGGAATAAAAAAGGCTGTTTTAGATTACAACGACACAATGTTGTGTTGAAATTCAATATTGTATTGTTGGGCTGGTTCGAGGCTCATAAAGACTTTGTGGTAATGGCGTGCATCCGGGACAGAGACGAGACATCGGCAGTGGTTGACCAACTGTGAGGCAGACATGCTGCAATAATACTGTGACAATACTGTCAGCACAGGCCTGACCTGGTGATAAACAGCTGATCACATTACCAGCATGATAACACACAGTCGGTGACAACGTGCTTGTGTGAAAGGAGGTTAAAAAACAGGCAGCAGGAAAATGAAAGTCCTGCCAACAACAAAAAGAATCTGTGTTTTTGTGACGACCAAGCCATGACTGTGTCAACACAGCCCTGGTTCAGATTGAAGTTACCCACTTAGATGTGAGAAGCATGTGAATATGACTCACCCAGCCTGGTAATCCTGGAGTGTGGCTTTGACAAGGGGCAAGGATGTTTTCTCACACTCTCTAATAGCTATAAGTGGCTGCACACTGGGAAAAATACATTGTAGATTCTACTAAAGTGTGACATGGGTAAATATAATAAAATGAAGTATAATTCTGATGTGGACTGACACTTCCTTAAACATTTCATATTTGCCTTATTTTGTTAGCAAAAACACATGTAAATTCATTCAGAGACACTGTTGATTGGATGTTCATGGTTACAGTGTTTACAGCGTGTTTGCCTGTTGTAGGGATGATGTGATTGACATAACTTACAGAAATGCACCTTAACCTTTTCAAAAACTGATTCCGTTAACCGATGGCTTTCTTCTTCCAAAGGCCGATACTGATAAGATACCTGGAGATAAGGCTGAAGAGCAAATGTCCACCTAAGATATGTCATGACATCAATACAATTAACATAAATGTCCTAAAATCAGTCTGTTTATTATTGTCCACCCTTCATAACTAACATGAAGGTGAAGCTCTCTCCATCAGCACAGTGCGCTGTCAAAATAATGCACCTGTAGTTTGTCTATTTGTAATCTGGGAGATTTTTTTTTCTTTAAAGAATGATGATGTCTTGACGTCAGCGTTTTTTCCTTGGCTGAACCATTCAACTCCACAAGATGTTCTCTGCTGCTGTGTTGAGCCGCTGACACTGCCGTGGTTGTTTAATGTGCTCCCACAGCTGCACAGTTTCTCTCTCCGCTCTCCTTCTTCTCCGTGCTTCATATTTTTGTTTTCCCTCCTGATCCCCCTGTTTCTCTCTCCGTCCTAGACCAACTCATTCTATCACTATGTCTATACACTTCAGGTTCAACTGTATTTTCCCAGATCCTCCGTGTTCTGCCTTCCTGTTTCCAGCCTGTTGGCTGTGTAATAGTGCAACAAAGGCAGACTGACGGGCTGAGCTGAGCTGAGCTTTAGCTCTGCTGCCCTGAACACACTTCACTCTGCCAAGGCTGAAGTGTTTGTCCAGTAACTTTTGGTCAGTACTTTTGATTGGACCAAGACAATTCTTGGTTCAATTCTTTAGTCCGTCCCTGCTCCTTGAAATGAGAAACCCTTATTATTATATACCCCTATAGAACTTTAATGCATTTTTTCCTAATTATACATTTGGCCAGAATGCTGTGGTAGATTACCCTCCCGCCATGCAAAAGGTTGCAGGTTCAATTCCCAAAACAAGGTATGGTTGCATCAGAAAAGCTGTCACTTAATGCTGTTATAACTAGCGGTATAACCTTCGTTAATCCATAAGAATCCATAAATTAGCCACATCGTTGTTTATGCCGCAGGGTTCAAAGCGTGCGAAAAAAGTAGCAGAAATTGCGCTAATTTTTATTAAACATTGTTTAGATTTAGTGAATCAATCTATTTTCCTAAGTGTGTGTGCCACCATGTTGTTTATTGGTTAACGATGATTTGATTTGATTGTGACTGCATGAGTCAAAATGAGAATGTAGAGGAGCTATCATTTGTGAACGGTATCACAATAAGCCCCAGCTCCTGACATCTTTTTTATTGCTTCCCAGCTTCTTTGAGAACAAAAAGGCGTGACGTGTCAGTGGTAATGTCTACCCTGTAATCAACTGACTATCACTTAACATGATTGATGCAGCGTGATAGAAATGGTAGAATTCTTCAACCTCAGGCACAGCGGATTTACCTCCCAAAAGGTTTCATTAGTGATTTATTAGGTTTCACAAAATTTAGTTAATTAATTAATTAATTAATTTTTGCTCAAACAATCGAGTCAGACGTCAGAAGTGAAGTGAAGACATGGGTGGCGGTCTCGAGCCCAGTCGAGCTGCTCGTGTTTGCCAGGAATTTTGTTGTTATGCTTGGTAGAGCTTTGAAATGAGTCCTCTCCATCCTGTGTCTGCAGCGGTTTTACTGTGCTGTCTCTGCAAGTCTGTCAGCTTGACAGGTAGACTTCACTGAGCCTCAACAGGCTGTCACAGTGAGAGATGTGGGAGGAAGTCAGTGAGTGTGTTGGTTTGTTCTGTTTAAGCCTTATCTGATGACCTCAACTCCTGCATCCTGTTACATCATTCAGGACAACTGGACTCTGACAATAAAACCCACCAGAAAGACATTTTTAATACACATTCAAGTATTTATAACGCCTGACATTCCACCGAGTATTGGTGAACTGTCCACTGTGACCTTCTCTCATCCAGTGACTGCTGGATTGGCTTCAGCCCCCCCTTACTTTAAGGATTGAGCAGTAGAAGATGGATACTTTTTGTCCACCTCCTTTAGAATATATTTATTTTTCCTCACACATATGTATGAGACCTTTGGACTCTAGATCAGGCATGGGCAAACTAAGGCCCAGGGGGCCGGTTGAGGCCCGTTCAGCTTTTTATTTTTTCCCGCCAAACTTTTCCAAATTATATAATTTATTTATATTATCATTATACTTCTGCCTTTTCCCTGCAATACCTCTTTCCGCAATAGGTGGTGTAGAAAATGATAAAAGCATCTTAGAATCTTAGCACTTACGCACGACTTTCACACGTCTTTTATCTTACCACAAATGCTCCATCTGTCTGCTGTGGCCCGCGAGTCAGAAAGTTTGCCCACGCCTGATCTAGATGGAGCTGTTGTTTAAATTGGTTTTTAAAGAAAACAGAACTCAAACAGTAGCAGAAAAGTGAGTGTACTGTCAACAGAGAGTAGAGACATAAGGGATGCAGAGACTGTGGAACTAAGAAGACATGAGGTGTGTTGTAAAGAGAGAAAGATCACATGGGAAACGGTGCAAGAGAAGAAAAAAACTGACAAAAGTGAGAATATGAGACTCAATTCAAGCAGACAGAAAAAGGATGGAGGGATGAGCTGAGCAGTAGAAGGGCGGACATGCATGGAATGGGGGATTGAAGGAGATACAAGGGGGCGGGGGGCTCGTATGTCATTTCCCCAGAGACCCAGCTCCTCCTCTCCCCCTTTACTTAGAGGCATCTGTAAAAGGTCTATTAATAGCAACAACAGTGAGCAGTATGTTTCTTTACTCAGATGGCCTATAAATAGTGTACATGCAGCTACTGTCACTTCGTATATGTTGCTGTGTACACACGCACACACACACACACGCACACACACTGGTCCGCAGCTTCACAGCCTCTGACAGGGAATCCTCCTCAGGAGATTATAGAGGAGAAGAAGAGAAGATGAAAACACTGCTAACGTGGTGAGGATGTGGATATTTGCCAACAAAACACCAGCGATCTTGTGAGCTGAAGTGAGCTGAGTCTATCACAATAAGAGTACATTTGTTGTTCATGCCGCAGCTTGAACTCGGACATAATGGAGGAAAGTGGTAAAATTGTCACTTTAACCTTTGCCAGTACCATCGCACTTGAAGGGCAAATTATAGGCCAGGGAACCCAGAGTGAGTGAGCACGCACTCAAACAAGACAGCAACGCTCACATAAAAATCTTCATGACAAATAAAAGTCCTTTGGAGGACATTTATTTGTCATGAAGTGATATTTGTACTCTGTCAGTTTTACATTTTGAAAAGTAGCATTAAGTCATACTTATTCTTTTACTCATTAGTACATATTAGCTCTGATTTTATTATAACAGAAAGCTTCACTTGGAATTTAATAAAGACTTCAACAAGAAAGGAAACCCTTACTCTTCTGTTCACCAACATATATATATATATATTTACAAACATTCTTGTATACTGGACTGGATATGTGATTAGAGGGCAGTCTGGTTGATGACCAGTCTCCCAGTCATCAATGTACTTTTTATAGTTACATGTATTTATGTGTTTAGCAGACGCTTTTATCCAAGTGTCATTAGGTGGTCCCTCTGGGAATCGAACCGAGGACTCTCTGCTCTTTGCTCGCCATGCAGGCGTGCTAGGTTTTTATTATAGAAAGTAGAGAAGTGAACCACAGTTAACTGCAGCCAACTCTGTGACATTATAGCAGACTGGCCATCAGTGCGTGAGTGCTATGACTTTTGTATATAGGAAATGCTGAGTCATCCTGTGT